AATCTTCTAAAATAATTTTGAGCCAAAGTAATTCACAAATGCCTTGTGCCATGACTCGAAATTCAGCTTCAGCACTAGAACGGGCTACTACATTTTGCTTCTTACTCCTCCAAGTCACAAGATTTCCTCCAAGAAAGGTGCAGTACCCTGTAGTGGATCTTCTATCAACAATTGAACCTGCATAATCAACATCAGTGTAGGCCTCAAGGGTTGTATTTCCATTTCTTTTAAACAAAATTCCTCTTCCTGGAATTCCCTTGAGATACTGTAGGATTCTATGAACTGCTTGTAAATGGTTTTCTTTAGGACAGTGCATGAACTGACTAACCATACTTACATCATACGCAATATCGAGTCTAGTGTGAGACAAGTAAATTATTCTCCCAACTAGACGTTGATATATTTCTTTATCTACTAGAACATATTCTTCTGTATACTCAGTTTATGATTTGGATCCATAGGAACGCTCGCAGGTTTACACGCTGTTTTTCCTGTATCTTTGAGTAAATCTGTAATGTATTTTTGTTGAGATATAAAAATGCCTTTTCGGGAATATGCCACCTCGATTCCCAAGAAGTACTTCAACTTTCCAAGAGTTTTTATTTCAAACTCCTTAGCCAAACACTAACTCAAGATTTGTTGCTCCTTCCAATCATCTCCTGTCATTATAATGTCATCCACATATACTAACAGAATTGTTACTCCCCCTTGTGGCGAGTGTTTGATGAACAAGGTGTGATCCCCTTGAGTTTGCTTGTACCCCAAATATGTCATAACCTTAGTGAATCTTTCAAACCATGCACGAGGTGATTTTTTTAGTCCATATAATTCCTTTTTCAACCTACAAAGTGTATTGTTAGGCACATTTTTTTCATACCCCGGTGCTACCTGCATATAAATCTCCTCTTCGAGTTCCCCATGTAAGAAGGAATTCTTCACATCAAATTATTGTAAATCCCAACCATAATTAGCAGCAAGTGACAAAATTCCTCTCACTGTATTCATCTTTAAAACGGAGCAAATGTCTCTGAATAGTCAATTCAATAGGTTTGTGTAAACCCTTTAAAAACCAACCTAGCTTTATATCTTTCAATTGATTCATCAACCTTATATTTTACTGTGTACATCCATTTGCATCCAACCGGCCTCTTTCCTTCTGATAAAGTCACTAACTCCCAAGTTACATTCTTCTTCAATGCGTTCATCTCGATATTCATGGCTTGTTTCCATTTTCCACCAGACAATGCCTCAGAAACATTAATAGGTATGAAAGTAACATTTAGGTTTGTATGGAAGGCTCAACGGGTATGTGAGAATTTTTTAAAAGAAAGATAGTTTGAAAGGGGATATAAAGGCCGTTTGGTTCATTTTCTAGTACATTTTCTAATAGCAATTGAAAAGTTTAGGTCATCATCTATTGTTTGGGTCATTATTTTATCTTATAGTTCAAAAGAATTAATTACCTCATTTGAAGGAGTCGGTTCAGAATCTTGAACTTGTGACGATTCAGGAATGGACTTTGACTTTCTCATGTAAACTAGATTCTTTCCATATCTTACATCCACTTCAGGTCCAAGTTAAGCAAGTGGTGTATTTGATTAATTTGACTCAACTCCTAGTCCTTCAGCCTCGGATGGATCGGGTACAAGTGTGTTTAACTCAAGACCAGAAAGATTAGGTCTATTTGACTCGAAACTGGAAGAATTAGGTGTATTTGACTCGAGACCAGAGACATCGAGTGTATTTGATTCTTGACTAGAATGATCAGATGTATTTGACTTAATACTAGATAGATTGAGTATATTTGACTCAAGATCAGAAAAATCGAGATTTTCAAGCTTATCTTCCTTAAAATTCTTTCCCTGAAGATAAGGTTGAGTGAAGTACGATTCCTCCTCATGAAAAGTAACATCCCGCGACACGAAAAACTTTTTAGATGAAGGATGAAAACACTTATATCCCTTTTGAGTAGAGGAATACCCGACAAACACACATCTTAGGGCTCTAGGGTCAAGTTTTTTTTCTATCTAGACTATGTACATGGACAAATGAGACACACCCAAAGATTCTAGGTTTAAGATTACTACTTACTGAAAATTTTGGATAGAAGGAAGAAAGAACATCCATATGACTCTTGAACCCTAATACTCTAGAGGGTAATCGATTGATAAGATGTGTGCTAGTGAGAACAACCTCCCCCAATACATATTTTGAAACATTTTGATGAAAAAATAATGCTCAGGTTTAGTCTAATAGATGCCCGTTTTTTCTTTTTGTGATTCCATTTTGTTGTGGTATTTTAACACAAGAAGACTCGTAGATAATTTCCTCTTTTTGACAGAAAGAAGTAAGAACATGATTGAAGTACTCTTTTCTGTTATCAGACCTAAGCCTTTTGATTTTTACTCCAAATTAATTTTCAATCATGTAGAAAAAATTTGGGAAACAATACTGATGTCAGACTTGTTTTGGAGTAAAAACACCCAAGTAACCCGAGTACAATCGTCTATAAAAGTAACAAACCACCTAGCACCTGTTACATTTGGATTGGAAGAGGGACCCCAAATATATGAACGTATAAGATAGAAGGGGAAAAGGCTTCTTTTGTTGTTTAATGTAAAAAGTGAACGCTTATGTTTAACAAACTTGCACACATCACAGTGAAGACTTTCAATATCTACCTTATTGAATAAAATTGGAAATAAAACTTTAATGACTCAAAAAGAAGGATGGCCTAATCCACAATGAAAAAGAAATATTTTTTCCTTTTTTGAAGAGTACTGACTATGACATAAATGAGTGGGACAAGTGGACTTTTGTATACTGATCTGGCTTTTCAAGATAGTAAAGATCATTCCTTTCTCTAACACGTCCAATCGTCTTTCCTGACTCCTTATCCTGAAATATACAACAATCATTATGAAAAGTAACACTACATGATAAATTGTTTGTAAATTTTTGTATGGAGACAAGGTTCATGGATAATTTTGGAACATGGAGGACTCTTTTTAGAGTTATAGAATGATTTATTTGAATATCTCTAATGCCCGCTACAGTTACAAGAGTACCGTCTGCAATAAAAATCTTTTTATTACTAGGACAAAGGAAATATGTAGAGAATTGTTTCGAAGAGGGTGTCATGTAGTTTGTGGCTCCTGAATCTAATATCTAAAATAAACAAAGTATTTCTGACGACTTTTCCATACTATTGGTCATGAAGAAATAGAAACAACAACTAAATATTTGTGTAAGATACTAAAGAAAACAAGATTCGATGAAGAAATCAACCTAGAAAATATAGGGACAGCGACTGGAACTGTGCAGGCAGCGGTTGAAAAACATGTAGAGCAGTACCGACGACTGCATGAAACTATACGGAACTGTACAGACAGCTGCTGGAAAAGTATAAGCGTTTAATCGGAAAAAAATTTGACAGCAAGTGTTGCCCAATCAAGATTTAAGTGTTTTGACAACATAAAAAGCCCAGTCAAATTTCTAAATAATGATTAGCGGAAGTAGAGTCCCCTAGATTAGGAGCTCTGATGCCATGTAAAAAATAGGAATAAGAAATTTTCTAAATGTGTTTGAGTGAGTAAAGCACTCAACAACATTGATATTTATACACATTATATAATTAATTACATATTATATTTATAAGGAGAAATAAATAATAGTTCAACTTCCTAAATGCATGAATCTAAATATATTCATTTTAGTCGAAAACACACTATTCATTTTTTCTACTTCCCCAACCGATTTATTAGGAAACTACTTGTGACTCATACCAGACCTGACATATACTTCTCAGTTAAATACTTTAGTCAATTTATTTTCATTCCTCTTCCTCATTATACAGATGCCACAAGAATTCTCAAATATCTAAAGTCTTCTCTTACAAAAGGCGTCTTCTTTACTGCTTCTAGTCCAATAAAACTGTTTGGCTTTACTTATTCAGATTGGACATGGTGTCCTGAAACAAGAAAATCACTAACAAGCTTGTGTGTTTCCTTGGTTCATCTCTTATTTCATGCAAATCTAAGAAACATGACATTGTGTCTCGATTTTCCATTGAAGCAAAATATAGAACTTTGACTTCTATAGCTTGTGAGCTCCAATGATTACAATATTTGTTTAAGGATTTTAAAGTTGAATTTTCTGATCTGGCTATTATGTATTGTGATAGCAAATATGCTATATATTTAGTTCACAATCCTACTTTTTATGAACGAAGTAAACACATTAACCTATTATTAACACATTGACCTATCATTACAATTTGTTGCCTGTCCCTAGCACATCTCAACTAACCAATGTTTTTACTAAGCCTCTTTACTTTCATGCTCTTTCTAGTATCGTATTCAAGTTGAATCTATGTTCAATCTAGAATCCAACTTAAAGAGGGTGTTAATGTATATGATAGGATTAGTTTATAGCTAGTTAGAACTAGTTAGTTATCCTAACTTTCATATGAAGGCATGTATATATACTAGAGGATTGAGCTCTTCTACTGTAATTAATTCATTTTTCTCATTCTTCATTTCTTATTTATCTCAAATATACAATATTATCACCAGGTTATATGTATTACTGCAGAACAACTTACACTTTCATGTCAACGATAATTGCAGAAAATATGAACAATTAATTAAAACCTAACCCAATATGTAACTTACACTTTCATGTCAATAAGCATACATAAGAGAGGAAAACAGACATAAGCTAAAAAACTGGATAATTCACAGTAGATAGTGGGAGAAAGAATATTAAGAAATACAAAAGCCTAACACTTGGCCATTGTAAAAAAAGGGGGGGAAAGTTATGTAGCTCAATATGTCAGAAAAAGAAGGTTTCTAATGGATTTCCAATGCAGTAGAGATGTCAAAATTTCAGCTCTCTTTTCTAATACCCATGTAATCCAGCACAGAAACAGCTCCATAAAATGATTCCAATTTACATCTAAAAATGGAAACTGCTTAGAAGAAAATCTCAATTGGAGGGAGCTATAAAGAAAGCCTTATACGTTGATGTTCCCTCCTCTCATCTCTTACTGTTGAACACTGGCTTTCTCTTTCTGCCATGCATCTTTTATATGGCACAAACCCTTTTCCAAATGTTCTAAGTCTCACTGTTTCACTTTGGCCAACAAGGTACTGCACATGATCACTTTTGGCTTGATCTTCCGATCTTTCATTGCTTTCTCCATCATTGATCAAACTAGTATTATTAGAACCAGCGGAAGAAGATCCTTCCTTTTGAATTTCTTTATCCTCACATTCTCCATGATTTGAATGTCGATGTTTCCCCTCTTTTTCCTTGTTGGAGGCTGAATTCTGAGAAAGAGTCCACCAAGGAACAACAGTTGCAACACCAATATCTGAATTTCCACGCTTCAGTTGCTGCGTATGATGCTCAGTAGGTATCGGTATGGATGCACTCGTTGATGTAGAAGGATGGCAGGTATCTTTTACAAGTAGAGTTGCTCCAAAAAGTTTGAGAGTTCGACAAGGTGATTCTTCTGTTGTTTCGTCGTTGGTAACGACACATTCTTTAGAGAAAAGCTCTGGTTTCTACACATTAAGATCAAACATAAGAATATAAAACCACAAGAGACCTTAAAAATGTTACTGTAGTTATATGATATCGAGGTTTTAAATTGCAGTTGCATGACAGTTTTTGATATGCAAAAAATGACAGAGATATGCTTGTGCAATTCCAATCACGCAGACATCAAAAACTATGATGTTTCGCAGACTGTAATTAAAACCTTATTGTAATCGAGAAAACGAAATAGGTTAGGATTTAAGAAATACCATTATAAGTTGTTCATCATGTGCTGAATCAGCATTCAGTTCATCTATTTGTAGAGACATATCTTCCTCAGATGATGAAGATTTGGTCTCAAGAAGTGGAAAGCTACAGGTTTGGACAGCACTAACGGATGAGACAGGGGACAAACTTCTAGTTGGGTAATCCGAATCCGAGAAACCGAGTGTTTCTGAAGCAACTGCAGATAGTACTGACTTGGGCGAGTTACTTTCTTGACCAAAATCTAATGACGCGGGGGAATTAGACCTCAGTGGCTGTTCCAAGTTGGAGATTTCATTCTTCGGGATCTCTACTAGTTTACGAGGGTAAGGATGAATCGGCTTCCGCTTCGGTCGTGGAGGTGGAATTTCAATTGACTCCACCAATGTTGTATCGTTCCCATTAGTGTCTCGATTGATCTGTGGAAAAAAAAGTCGAAATACAAGAGTTAATATTGAATTCAAGGTGAACTTCTCAAGTTTCAACCTCAAGGAAGTTTGCTTATAGCATCTCCTAGGGTCATTCATCATAAATTTTCACCTAATATATATAGTTTATGGTGTATTATTCATAGGTATAGATGATTGACATTAGAATAAATCAATAAACCTTAGAAAAAAACTTCTGAGCATGACTTCGAATCTGCACAGCAGTCTTTGTGCCAACATGTTCTGTGGTGAAAATAAAGGATCCAAAAACTCAGACCAAATTTTCTGATTCGCTCATAAATTCAACCTCTTTTACAAGAAGAATCTTTATGATATACTTGTCTAAAATATGTAAATTCTAAACTATTAATACCTTCGATTTTTCGCCATGCTCGACCATACAACTTTAAAGCTTCAAGAAACTTCTTATGTTCTTCATCTGTCCATTTCTCTCTCTGCTTTGTGATAGTATAAGGTTTCCTTACCTAAAAAAAATTGTACAAAATTTTTATTAAAACATATGTAACAGAAATAATCAAAGTTTATAAAATAAAATATTTCACAAACCTTCAAAGCATGGTCATTTCCACATGAAAATTGATCAAGTAGTTTGTGTACATGTATAACAGAATCCATTCCTTCTTTTTGACCCTGCATCAAATCCAAATAGCAAATATTTAGTTAAATTATATGCTACAACCACAAAGAAAATGAAAAAAAAAAATTATAATTCAAAAATTAAATGAACTTAAAGTCATAAATAATAACCAGAAAGGATTTATTTGCCAAAAACCCTGACCTGATTTTTTTTTCATTGAAAATTAAACTGGGCCGACTCAGCAGAGTTAGTTACATATCTAAGGCCTTGTTTGGCTAGCTATAAATATTTCTAATTATAGAAATCTATGCATGTTTGCCATCATAGGAAAGATGTAAACCAAATCACAATTTTTTTCTTTTCTAAAAACAGACCTACCAATCAAACACAAATAAGAGATTAAATAAAACATTTGCATACAGAAATAAAATCAAATAAAAATAAAAATAAAAATCTCAATCTCATGTTAGAAATCAAAATACATACCAGAATCGCCATGAAATCAAAATCCAGTGATGAAAACTTCTATCTCAAAGGTTGAGCTAAAAACAAAATCAAATATTCTTCTTCAGCAAAGAGATTGAGAACAAAAACCAGAAGAGGAAAAAGTGTGAAAGAAAATAGCTGAGATTGGAAGAAGCATAACAAGGAGAAAGTGTGGATAGAAAGATATAAAAAAGCCAAGTGAGAAAAAGACTTTTGAAGGTGGAATATAAAAGGAGCAAACAAATAGTGACACGTCAGATTTCAATTTTGTTTTCGACGAAGAAAAAATTTTATTTTTATTTTTCTTTAATGGAAATGTCGAGAACTAAATGGGATCTTGTGGCTCACATAAAAAGAGCGCCTAAACACGTGGCGTTAGGCTGCATCATCTAATTTTGTGTATCAAATTCGTACATAAGATCTAGCCGTTTAAAAATTTGTTCAGCTAAATCCAACGGTGCTAAAATAATGTTAGATTTTTTATTTATATTATCTGTTGTTGCATTTTGTGATTGGTTGGACGGGAAATAATACAATACACAGCTCATTGTGGATAATTCGGGAAAGAAAGAACACTCGCGGCGAAAAATGTGGCAACGCTACTCGCAGTTTGTGTTGTGCTGTGAAACCTAATTAATGCGTGGCTACTATTTTCCCAGCTACTCTATAGACAAGTGCTTTTTTATGTGGTTTTTGACTTTTTTGAAGAAATCTTTTCTTTTTTTTTTTCGTTTTTTATTTATTTATTTGTACCTCGTATTTTTTGCGTATTGAATTGGTCATGGTCAAATTATATAATTTACGAGGGACTTATCATTTAAAATATTAAATTTCTCTTTAACTAATAATTTCTTTTTTTATAATGAAAATGAACTAATTACTTTTATAATAATTGGATTTTTATATATAATGCAATACGTATATTGCAGCAAATCTTGGGAGAAAATCCACTTTAGATAGATATGGTAACGACTTGGCATTTCTAAAATCATTATAACTTCACTATAGTGCTTCTCTCCTTCCCATCGCACAATATATTCATGCTTGGTATGAAATTTGATTAAATTAGATAGTGGTAAAGGTTTCAGTATCAAGAAAAATAAATTGAGTGTCTCCTGGAAACTTGAGAAAATAGATTATCAATTAAATTACTATTTCATCTTTTTATATTGGTTGTAAATTCATGACACGTGTTTATTTTATAGGTAATGGATTTTCTCTTCACCCTTATTTATATAGGTAATGAATTTTCTCTATCAATTTTATTTATCTTCAAAATTTGTATAATGAACACATATATGTTACTAATAATATTATTTTTAAATATTTATATAGAAAACTAAAACAATTATAATAAATTAATAATAATTTTTTACATTTTAATAATTTCAGTTGTTTTATATCTTTTAAATAATAATAAAAGTTAAACTTAACATAATAATTTATTATAAAGATTTACAGAGTAATAATTACTTAAATTATTTGTTTTTAATATATTTTCAAAAAAAAATTATAATACATCAATTATATTTCTTTTACACTTAAATATATTGATGTTGTTTTAAAAAAATGAGTAATCAAAGAATTTCCCTAGAGCGTACGATTGATACATGAAATAATTATTTATACTTATTAATTAATTTAATTTAATTTTTTATACCTTTTAAATAAAAGAGTGAATAATTATAATATGATAATTATAATATTATATTAAAAATTATAGATGAGATAAATATTATTGACCAACACATAAATATTTGTTGAGAGGAGAAAATGTGGTAAAGTGTAATGCGATATCATACACAAAACGTTCTAACATTCAAATCACAAATGTTGTAACAAATATGATTTCTTAAATTTAATATTTTTTTTATGTATAAGATATAAAAGATTAAATAATTATAGAGTTAAATAAGTTTTTGGTCCTCTAAATATCTCAAATTTCGTTTTTAGTCCCTCAAATATTTTTCCTTTAAGAATTGGTCTTTTTCAAATTTTTCGTTTGAATAATTGGTCTCCAACGTCAAGTTTCACTAACGACTTTCTATTTGGCAAGACAGGTGAATTAAATAATTTGTTTTATATATTTTCATGAAATACATCGTGTACACTGGCCCCTTATTAAAGATGAGTCACATGCTACTTTTGATCTAATTCCTTTCTTTTCCTCTTCGTTAACATTCTTCTTCGTGAAAATCCAGCACAAGAGTTGGTTCAGTGGTTCATCTTCTTTCTTCTTTCATCTCCGTCCTCCTTCAGCTCCATAACATAATGTTTTATGCTTCAGTCAAATCGCGAGTTGGGAAGTATTGTGCATGTCAGGTTCAGATGGTATCGTATTATTGCAAGAATGGACCAAATAAGGATAGGTTGTTTTGGAGATGTCCTTATTGGCAGAGTTCTGATACGTGTAATTTATTCATATGGGATGAAGATCTTGGCGTAAAATCTGGAAATGGAGATGTTATCATTAGGAACTCAGATCAGTTGGAAGCCATGGCATTTGTGGGATATATGAAGTCCTTGTATGAAGATTCAAGGAAGAAGAACAAGAACTTGAAGACCAAATTGAAAACTGATAAATTTTATGGAAGATTGAAGGTGTCGTGTCTTGTTATGTCATTTATGATAAATGTATTTGATTGCAGTTGCTGAATTGTTTAATGTAATGAGAATGTACAATAATTATAGGTCCTGGTTCAATGTACTTGATAAATGTATTTGATTGTAGTTATTAAACTATTATCAATTGTAGGTGCTGAATTGTTATCAATATTGTTTGTTATGATTAAGTTGGCATAATTTGCAATATTTGGTATAAAAAGCTTGTAATTTGACTGTTAAGTGCATAACAAAGCACATACTGAGACATGAGTACAAAATAATACCGAGACATAAGTGCATAACAAAGCACATTACAAAGCACATACTGTGACATGAGTACAAAATATATTAAAGTTTAAAGTGCATAATAAAGCATATATTGTGACATGAGTACAAAATACATTGCACATTACAAAGTGCATAACAAAGCACATTACAAAGTTCATAACAAAGCACTTGGTTCATAATACAACATACATTTGTTTCATAGTACATAACAAAACACTAGGTTCATAAGACATAAGGTTCAACCAAAACACATTTGTGTCACTCTTGAGTTTTTACTGATTCATGCTCTCCTGGATGTCATCCTATTTCTTCTTTCTCCTAAAACTGCCAATAGTTGAATCTTCTCCAGACATTACAAATGGATCATTTAGATCCCTTCCAGGTCCCTCCATATTCTTTGTCTTCAAAGTCCTAAGTCTGTCACTCTTTCTAATGGGAGATGCAACATTCTTTGACTTTTCCTTGGTGATATCATTATTTTCACCTGTTATGACAACATAGAGTTATCAAGGTAAAAAAACATAACATGTCAAATAAGTATATCAGAACAAGTTACAAACTTACAGGGTCGCTCATAGTTGGGTTGACAGCAGGTTTGGCAGGTTTTGATATCTTAGGATATTTACCAATAAAGGTTTTAGAACCAGGCATATTATTCTTTTCATGTTTATTAAACCTTATCACTGAAGGCCTACCATCATCACTATCATCATCTGTCCCATTATCAAGCTCATTTGTGATGTAATTATCCTCAATTACATGTTCCCTTTGCATCTCAGTTGTAGTCAACCCTTTATGTATTCCTTGACCATTATCCATTTGACCTGTATCATCACCATTATACACTCCACATGTATCAACACCTTCACCCATGTCTTCATCAAAATCGTGCATCCTCTCTTCTTCACTATCTTCTAAGTGTATATCATTCAAAGAGTCTTCAAATGATTCACTGTCCTCACCATCTTAATTTTCCTCACCATTAACATGGTCTTTTTCTTTCTCTTTTAACCTCTCCATATAAGTCTTCTCATCACTAGATAATCTTTCCTCTGTATATATCTCAACATCACATTTAGTCTCCTTAGCACACATAACTAACATTGTTGTAATCCTCATCATTAACAAGGGGTTTTAGGTCATTTTCAAGTGAGTCATGTTCAAACTTCCACGACATTTTCACATCTTCAGTTTTAAATGATGAATCCATACCCTTAATTAAGTCACATGCTTCAAAGTATGACCAGAAATCAGGGTCTTGCCCATATACAACATAAACACCCCCTTTCATATTTTAACCCTTCATCCTTTACAAATGACCCTTTGGTATAAAAGAAAACTTTAAATAACCGTATTGCATACACATTTCAAGAAAAAACAAGGGTAACTCAGACATTACCAACAGATTAAAACAAAAAACCCTAGAATTTGGGACCAACACATGGGGCATGCAAGCAATACTCTAAATGAATAAACTATAGCAAGTGGGACTTACCTAATCGTTGTTGGGACCGCAATAACCAGTTCAAGATCCGTCAATGTTGGGACCACAAGAAGGGAGATATCACTGTTGGAGAGAGGGACCACTTTCGAAGGAATTTGATTTTTAAACATGAATATGCCACTTACTTATTATAATGAATTCCATATGAGAAAAGAA